TACATATTCACATGCTCTATAAACAACTCTCAAGCCCATTTTGCAAGAGTTTGGGCTTCAAACATGAGCATGAAGTGTCATTAATTTCTCAAAACAACTTTCCACATTGACATTTATTTTATAAATAAGACATTTCCCTCAGAAGAGGAATTCTGCTGCTACTGTTGTAGCATTATTCCCTTACTTATTCAAGAATCCTACATGTCTCCCTCTTGTAAGAGATTTAACTTGTGTATCAGCGTTGCAAGACCCTTTGTCACATTTCTCCAAACTTCATTCCTATCTACAACATTCTCCACTGCCTGACAGTCTGGATTTCAGTGATAAACTAATTATAGTTTTCCACATGTACCGTGGCATTTTCTACCACTTGTGCTTCATGGTACCATATTTCCACCTCTACTCACTCTAATATTTCAAAGGTGTCTATCACAACAAATACTACATTGTGCTTTCATTGTTTTCACTGAAATAAATCTTAAATTCTTTTGGTTAATTGTTCTGTAGTTGAACCCAATATTTGGTATTAAACTGTGCTCATTGACTCCTCAGCTGAATTCTGATTTTCTGAAATCTTGATTGAATAGAAATAACTGATATGGAGTGTATTTTTTACTATTAGTAATGGGAAATTAAAAAAAATTATTCAGTGCATAGTATCTGCCAAATCTATTTTTGAATATGTAACTATTGGGTTGTCGGAAAAGTCATGACACATTTTTACATACAAAAATATATCATAACTTTTCTGACAACCCAATATAATAATTGACTCAATACCCCAACTTCCTTATTATTCTATGATATTTTACTTCATTTTAGAGATGAGGAAACTGAAACCTAAAGGGTTACACAAGAGCACACAGCTGGTAAGGTGTGGAGCCAGGGTTGAACCCTGGAGGTCTTGCTCCAGGGATGGGATCCATCTGTTCCTCTGCCTCTCACCTATAATAGTGAAGTGTGTTTATCATTTAGAACACCGAATAAATGTAAATAGCTTTAATGTCCATTGACCCGATCAGATTTCCTGAGAATGCTATAATTAGTTTGAACCTCAATATTTGAAAAGCAGATTGAGTTCTTCAAAAGCATTGAGATGAGATTATGTATTAGACAGTAGCATCTTTGAATCCATAGAGAGTGTATGTATGCATGTACATTTGTTGTTTAGAGAAGAATTGAAGAAGGCTAAAAAATGTGCTAGCCAGTTTCTACCATCTTAGATAACTGGAGATAAAGGTATTCAGTTTTGGAAGACAGTATGAATCACGTATTCTTGGTGAAGTCCCAGGCGCAGCAGACAGATGGGGCTGTGGAATTGACCTCTCTAGCCCTAAAATGTAAACATTTTATCTGGAAAGGTGTAGTGGCAGAAGTCCTTAAGGTCTCAGGACCAGCAGTTAGTGTAATGACTATGTCGCTGGACTCCCATGTAGTCGACTGCAGTTCGAGTCCTGGACTTGGTGTCTTAAAACTCACGCCGAGTGCGTGTGCGTGTGCGTGCATGTGCGTGCCTGAGGTCTCTAGAGGAGAATGGAGGAGAAGGGATTGTGGCATGGCCATCTCCCCAGGGGGTGATTTCTTGCTTTCTGTCTCTTTGTCTCTCTCTCTCTCTCTGTCTGGCGAGCGTATGCCCCCTATAGAAAAAACTTCTCCAAAAAATTAAATTCAATTAAAAAATTTAAAAATAAGTCCTTAAGGTCTCAACTGAGAATAAATTCTTTCTTCTAGACCAAAGGTTCTCAATCTCCATCATATTCAATTAAGCCAATTTGGAATGGAGATAATACATTCCTAGTATTCATGATGGTGATAAAAACATCATCCACCATGTTTTGTTCATTGCAACCGTGACCATCAGAAAAGAATGAGGATTAGACTACCCTATGGACCCATATTCCAAATGCTGGAGGCATGATGTCTGCAGAATAAAAGGTCACATGTCATTGATCCTTTTGCTAACATGAGCCAGGCTCTGGGCAGAGACCAGAAGGCAGGTATCCATTCCTATGACCTCCACTCAGTGCTCTACAGACCAGTGTGACCACTCTAGACTTTGCTGGTCTGGATACAGGTTTTAGCTAGTAAATAATATATTGTACGTATGTGCCATGGCCTATCTCAATAAAAAGACAAGTGACATGCCAAATCTAATCTGATTGTTTCAGAAGATGCAACCAATGTGTTACATAGTCTCTTGGCCAGATTTATAGCATTTCATTATGTTTTCTTCACCACAAATGTGTGGACAGTCACCATTGTCAATGATTCTCTGAGGCATGGACCAGTCATTAATTCAGTGGGACTCTCTTTAATGAGTGAGAAAACTAATGAAAGAAGTAGAACTTAATGGAAAGCCAGAGCATTTATTTGGATAGGATCTCACTGGAAACTGATGTACCAAACTTGTAAGAAGTAAAGGCAAACATCCATACATTTCTTTGAGGGGGAGCTAAGCTTGCCTTCTGGCCTTTTAAATCTTGTCACAGTGATTACTGTGTCTATCATCTTTGTCGTGAAAAGTATCTGCCACAAAGCCTATTCCTCTTGGAAAACTACAACTCGTAATGAATGGCTTACAGTTATAGAGCAAGCTAAATAAATAGTATCTTTAAAAAGCTCCATTTGATAATTTATGCTCTTATGAGGAATATTACAAGAAAATTTCCACATGCTATTTTGTCACATTCCTTATTACAGTTAGCATAAATTCAACTCTTAAAGGGTTTATTTTAGCTCCTAAAGAGTGTGTTTTTCAGAATGGTTATAGATCCTATTTTTTTAAAAAAGATAAACATTTGTTACATCCTGTGATTTGATGAAATAAAAACTTTGTGTATATTTTTAAATGCAGTATTGCTTTTATAAAGGCCAATGACAAGAAATATGTATTGCATCTATATTTTATGTATGCATAGAACAGCACAATGTTGAACCAATTTAAAATAGCCCCAAAAGCCAGTTAAGTGTATTTCATGATTTATAACTAGGAAGGTTGAATTCTAGCAGGCTATCAGAAATGGATATATAGGTTTCAGAAATGCCTTTATTAGTTGCACTCTTGTAATGTTTTTATTAATATGTATGGACTTATATTCATTATTATTAATCCCGAAGTAAGATTTTTTTTTTTTTTTTTTTTAGAGAATGAGAGATTTTTGCTTTAGGGTGCATGTGCTCTCCAGAATGAAAGAGAAATAGAAAGTGAGAAAACAGCCTCCCCCCGCCCGCAGGGAGAATGGCCAGGCTTCAATCCCTTCTCCTCCATTCTCCTCTTGAGACTTTGGACGCACGCGCACACACACACACACACACACACACACACGTGCCCGGTGTGGGTTTAAGGTGTCAGGTTTGGGACTCCAGTGGCATAATCATTATGCCATCTGCTGGTTCCCAGAATTTTTTGAAGTATGTAAAAATCATCTATGAACATTTATGTTATTAATAATAACTGTAAAATAGGAAGTTTTGTGCTGCTCATCAATGTTGACCATAGCACTCAGCCTAGTAGAATTTCACACACTGTACTCTTTCCAAAAATGTGAGGTGGTTTCAGTCAAGGCAGCTTTTGATGTTTATCTTCAAGAGTTTCATTGGGGCTCCAAACCAAAGAATTAGGGGGACCAGCAGTTGGCATAGTGGCTATGTCACTGGGCTCCCATGTAGTCGACTGCGGTTCGAGTCCCAGACCTGGTGGCTTAAACTCACACCAGGCGCGTATGAGGGCATGCCCAAGATCCTGAGAGGAGAATGTCATGGGGAGGGGGGTGATATCTTGCTTACTGTCTCTCTGTCTCTGTCTTTCTAGTGAGCACACGCACCCTATAGCAAGAACTTCTAAAAAAAAAAAGAAAGAAAGAAATTAGGTAAATGGGGCCAGCAGTTAGCGTAATGGCTATGTCGCTAGACTCCCACATAGTCAACCGTGGTTCGAGTCCCGGACCCAGTGGCTTAAACTCACGCCGGGTGCATTTGCGTGTGTGCCCAAGATCCCGAGAGGAGAATGGAGGAGAAGGGATTGCGACGTGGCCATCCCCCCTGAGGGATGATTTCTCACTTTCTGTCTCTCTGTCTCTCTCTGTCTGTCTGGCGAACGCATGCGCCCACCCCCCCCAAAAAAAAAGAAAAAAAAAGAAAAAGAAATTAAGTAATTACTTCCAATCTCATTTCCCATCATGACCAGCTAACATGACACTTGGCTTCACCTGGTCCTACAATAGCTCTTGTGGCTACCCAGTGTGCCAGCTGATGTTCATAGTTTTAGTTTGAGGTTTCAGTTCTTTTCTTCAGAGATAAAATATATTCCTTTGTAATATCAATGATCTGAGTAACAACTATCAGTTGTTAGGATATCATATCATTATTCCTGTGGAAATACGTAAAATAGGTATAAAATATTTTAAATAGAACTGGTGATAGATACAGCAGTAATGGACTCCTCAAGGGAAGTCATACCCTGCATGGTGACTGCCATTTGAATCCCTGGCCTAGTCAACCTGAAACATAGAGGGCCCCGGGCATGAGCACCAGGGTCCAACAGGCTGGAGGACAAGAGGAAGGGCATCTTAACATGAGTAGACTCGGGGGAGGCAGCCCCCCTTTTGTCTCACACACATACGTATATACATGTGCTCTGTCATGAATAAAGAAGAAGATATCTGAAAATATGTATTTGTATTTTTGTTCACTTTATTGTGAATATAAGATACTACTTTAGCACTGTCCTTGTGCTATACTGTGGTTGAACTGTCTCCTGTGAAATTCAAACTAATGATGGGATGTTTTCTCATTAAAGGACAGTCACACTTCTGCTGGTATACATATATTTCCACAGCAGCGGATTCATTTCAATTTATTGCATATTTTCAAATGTGTGGACAGTCATCGTGTGGTTGACTCTTTCACTGTGTTGGAGGAACTTCTGGAGAGCAGACAGAAAGCACAGAGAAGAGATAGTTCCTTCTCCTAACTTTTTTCTCTTTCTTTTCTCTCAATAGGAACTTTTTACCCCTGAATGCAAGTTTAAAGAATCAGTTTTTGAAAACTATTATGTAATCTACTCATCCATGCTGTACAGACAACAGGAATCTGGTAGAGCCTGGTTTTTGGGATTAAATAAAGAAGGGCAAGTTATGAAAGGAAACAGAGTAAAGAAAACCAAACCAGCAGCTCATTTTCTACCCAAGCCATTGGAAGGTGAGTGTTACATGTGCATTATCTTTTTTTTTTTTTTGAGAGGTTTTCGCTATAGGGCGCGTGCGCTTGCCAGACAGAGAGACATAGAGACAGAAAGCGAGAAATCACCCCCCAGCGGGGATGGTCACGCTGCAATCCCTTCTCCTCCATTCTCCCCTTGGGATCTTGGGCATGCACGCACATGCGCCCAGCGTGAGTTTTAAGCCACCGGGTCCGGGACTCGAACCGCAGTCGACTACGTGGGAGTCCAGCGACATAGCCATTACTCTAACTGCTGGTTCCCACATGTGCATTATCTTAACCAGACTTTTGACACATTTTATTTTGCACATTGGTAAGTCTGCCATGGCTACAACAAACCCTGCAGAGAGCTAGAAAGTTCTTTGTCTTGCATAGATGTCTAAGTTTTTCAGTTAAGACTAGTGTCCTTTATACATCTTACTATACATGTGTGCAGGTACCAGGAAAACCATCTCTGTCCCCTTCCAATGTCTTAAATCTTCACTGCCCCACCACTCTCCCCACTAGATCTTTTCAATTAATGAATTTCAGAAGTTTAAACCTGTAATAATTTTACAAATCTATGACAGTAGATTTATTTATATTAGAAAAATAAATTTTGAATATGGCCTCAAAAGTATTTGCAAATTTTGATGTTATCTGAGTGAACATAATTATAGTCTTGCGCGTTTTAATAATTATAGAAAAGGCATTTTAGTAATTACAGAAAATTAAGAGATAATAACTTGGCCCTTCAAGAACTTGTTGATGTTTCATATCGCCTTCTAATTGCATAAGAAGTCACTATGTACACTTGTGGCACTACCTTCTTATACTAAAATGACGTGTATCTACCTTCTCCTGCAAACAATGGCACCTTCACATTTACTTTGGTCAGATTCCCAAGGATCAGACTACAAAGTTTTGTTAATTAATCAGAAAGATCTGCACCTTTCTCGTTAATGATCGATTGATTCAGCCAGAAGTGTCATTTACTTTTATCTATGTAATATTTGAAAACTCCAAAAAAAAAATTGATTTTGAGGCATTTGAAGTGTTTTCTAGTCAAACATTTTTGGTTTATTCTTGCAAAAGATCAGATTTACAATAGCAGAATTAATGATTTAAGCTAATTGGGCAGTTCTTTTTTTTTTTTTTCATCCCTGTAAGAAAGACATGGTCATCGAGAGAAAATGCATGCAGGTTTTATAATCCATATTCTCTCTATAAGATCATTTGAAATTTCAAACAGTTGATCCTTTATTATCTGTGTGTGTCTAATTAAGCTTGCCTACATTTTCTAAGCCACTCAAGCTGACTAACACCACCTTCATAATTTCAAGGATATTGACTTACTATCACTCTTAATTGAACTTGCCTCTAGAACGATTCATAAATGCCCAAATAATTAGCAATCTGAATGAAGGAAAGCATATATTTTTCTAGAGTCAGAAATGATAAGCCATAGGAAAATTAGAGTAAAAAGATGTTAGAGAGTTTATTCTCAAACATGCATGATAGAACACTATTGTGTTAAGTAAAATTTCACATGGTCAGACTGACCAGCATTCAAATACAAATGAAAAATAAAATACTGAATCAATAGCGGCTCTTCAAAGATGTTTTATTTGCTCTTTGTCTCTTTTCACTTATGTTTTGGATAGAGACAGTTAAGAGTTGATTAAATTGCTAAAACCTTGCCTCTTAACTGCATAAATGTAATGAGAACCAAAAAAAAGCCTTCTGTCACTTAACTGAGTTCAAATTTGGAAGCCAGTTATTTTGTATAACCTATGGGAAATATTCAAGACTCTAATGGTATACAATAATAATGTCACGTGGTATTTCAATTACATATTGAACTGTTGTGTGTATAGGCACATGTATGAGAAAAAGAGAAATGGTATTTTCATCATGTTTTCAAATAATTAGGATGCAGGTGTATTCCAAAAACAATTAAATAGGTAGGCACTATAATGAAAGAAGTTATTACATGGCTTACCTAGTAGAAGAAATTTAGTTTCAAAAATTTCAAAACTCATACAGGATGTATTGCATCATTGCAAATGTTAGGACACATTAGGTACTTGGTTAATTGTTGATACTCTAGGGGGTTCATATCCTTATGCAGCTTCCTACATACCAATCAAGCTCAATGCTGAGGCTATTTTATGCTCATGCAATTAGTAGTAGAACTGAGAAATTCAGCTATACTTCATGGATATGGATTAGTTCCTTTTACTAACTTGCCAAGACATTTAACACAGGCCTGATGTGCCTTTGTGCTTCCAAAGATGTGTGCTGCTGAACAATGATCACATGATGCACGGGTGCAAAAGGAACATTCTACCACCTCACACACAGAGAACACATATGGCAGTGCAGCCCAACTAAATGGAAATGCTCCTCCTAAATGTATAAATCAACATTCCAGAATTTACAAAGCAGCTCAGGCAGTTCTAACATACTAGTATTTCTGATGGCATGTGGCCTTAGCTCAACTCGTTTTCCCCAAGCATCAGGTATTTGTAAATGACCTTTCTCATGACTTTCTAAAATCATTTCTACAAAGCCATATGAACTATTGTGATTATGTCACAAGATACTACTCAGATAACTTCTCACAGTTCACTCAGGCATCAGCCTTGTGGCTGTGTCACCATCTGTCTTCTATATGATGGCAAATATTATATTTTAGTAATGTTATCAGAAAATGAGGTGTAAAATGATAACATTTTAGACAACATAGTAGTCTTTAGTGGTTTTCAGGTCCCTGTCTGTGATTTGGGGAGAGATTTCCAAAAGGCCTCAGCTTCAGGGAAGTAAATTCTTTCTCACTGCTTTGTATAGCTTTGAAGTTGACAGCAGTGTGACTATATTGCCTTTGAAAAAAATAATAACTTAATGATCTAGGGTGTAAATAACTTGTTTCAAAAAGATTAATTGGAATAAGTAGATTACGTGTGATATTGATATACAATGAAAAGGGAGGCCAAGCTTTCCTTTATGTACAAAGAGAATTAGGTTAAATGCTTGTAATTCTCTTATAGTGTGTGTGTGTGTGTGTGTGTGTGTGTGTGTGTTGCATTATAAGCCCACAAAGAAGCCAGAACTCCCATTAAGCCTTCTCTCCTGGACAAAAATCCTGTGCACCATGTATGTATTTTAGGAGCATAAGCCAAAGAACGTGGAGGTAATAGCCTCTGTTTAGGGATGGCATATTACTGCCTTAAAATTCCTTCAATGGGATTCTTTACTTCAGGGAAACCAGAAACGTGCAATCTTTTGAAGGATAGGTTTGCACAGACGAACCATTCTCGCACCTAACCAGGCAATGTTTCTTTTTCCTCCTTCCTTCCCGTCACTAGTTGCCATGTATCGAGAACCATCTTTGCACGATGTTGGTGAAACGGTCCCGAAGGCTGGGGTGACGCCAAGTAAAAGCACAAGCGCGTCTGCAATAATGAATGGAGGCAAACCAGTCAACAAGAGTAAGACAACATAGCCAGATCCTCACAGGTGTTGTGACTTATCCGTCCTGAGCACAGTTGAGTGATTTATCCTTACCAGACATTC